TATGTACTCCAACAGCTCCCCGTACTTCATGTAGTTGCTTGCATTATTAACTCAATAAAATATTAAATTTGAACTTACTTGTTGTCTCTTTCGCTAGTCTGTAAACTCTATGAGTGCAGGGACCATGCCTGTTTTATTTATCATCATATTTATAGAGCCTAGCATGGTGCTGGCCATGTGGTGCCTCAATTAATATTGAAATGCTCACATGTTGAAAGACTTACATGTGCAAAAATGTAAGAACTAGTCAGAATTCCAGGTTTTCTTCAAGAACTGTATTCATTAAGCCTGAAAGTAAATGAAAATTAGAGAGACTGAAGAAGTTTTGTTTTTGTTTTTTTTTTTTTTGGTGAGGAAGATTAGCCCTGAGCTAACATCTGTTGCCAATCCTTCTCTCTTTGCTGAGGAAGATTGGCCCTGGGCTAACATCCGTGCCCATCTTCCTCTATGGGAGATACTAGGTTAGTGGCTCTCTTTGGAAAATACAGTCTGTCACAGGGATCATATTATCTGTTATGGGCCTTTGGTCTAAGAGGAATGTTGTGCTTTTTCCTGATGGGGGATGGGAGAGAGGGAACTTCTCCCTTAGAGCTGATTGAGGGTGAAGGTTACTAGATCATTATTTGCAACGACTGGGTGCGCCTTCTCATTCCCCAGTTGGAAGTCTGCTTAGACAGCGCATTTTAATTTGCCCTTTGCTTGCTTGAGCAAAGAGAAATAAAATTGGAGAGAAGGGGGCCACAGTGAGTGGCCTGTACACTCATTGGAGTGGTAAGGATATGTGAGTTTCCTGGGGTGAAGTGAATACTGTTCGTACCTGCCCAAGAGAGCTGCTCTCCAGGTAAGAGGGCCAAGCAGCAAAAAACCATGAGCCGTGAGCCCTAGAGCAGGAGGCTCTCCCACATCAGGGATTTGTGCCCTGGGGAGACCCTACAGCATTTACCCAAGAAAGCCTGCATTTGGATGCCTGCAACAGTATCAATGGCCTATCAGAGTTAACAGAGAAACAAAGACAACAATCAAAGAGAGAATTCTAACATGTATCAGACTCAGGTTTTAACCTGAGACACAGAACCAGTAGGAGATTTATTACAAGAAATTGGCTAATGCAGTTGTGGGGGCTGGATAAGCAAGTCTGAAGTCTGTAGGGCAGGCAAGCAGGAAGAAATCAAGAACATGTTGGGACCCCATGAGCAGAGGTTGAAGCTTGTTGTCCACAGGCAGTAAGGAAAGGAAGATCAGGCTGGAACCCCAAGGGCATGAACTGTTTGGAATCTCTGAGCTCAAGGAAAGCCTAAAGCCCTCTTTTAAAGGGCTTACCTGATTAGGTCAGGCCCACCCCAGATAGTATTTCTTTTGATTTAACTTAAAGTCAATTTATTAGGGACTTTTATTTTTTTATTTTTTTTCATTTTTCATGAGGAAGACTAGCCCTGAGCTAACATCTGTTGTCAATCCTCCTCTTTTTGCTGAGGAAGATTGGCCCTGGGCTAACATCCATGCCCATCTTCCTCTACTTTATATGGGACACCACCACATGGCTTGACAAGCGGTGCATTGGTGCCCGCCTGGGATCTGAACCTGCGAACCCTGGGCCGCCGGATTGCAGGCACTTAACCGCTGTGCCACTGGGCCAGCCCCTATTAGGGACTTTTATCACATCTGCAAAATACCTTCACAGCAGCACCTAGATTAGTGTTTGGTTAGATAACTGGGGAATGTAGTTCAGCCTAGCCAACTTTATACATCAAAAAGCCATCACATGGGCCTGCCCCGTGGTGTAGCAGTTAGGTGCGTGTGCTCCGCTGCTGGTGGCCTGGGTTCAGATCCCTGGTGCACACCAATGCACTGCTTGTCAGGCCACGCTGTGGCGGCATCCCACATAAAGTGGAGGAGGACGGGCACGGATGTTAGCTCAGGGCCAGTCTTCCTCAGCAAAAAGAGGGAGGATTGGCAGGGATGTTAGCTCTGGACTGATCTTGCTCACAAGAGAAAAAAAGAAAAAGCCATCACATAATATCAGCCAATATATGAAACGTGTCCCTTTCCTTTTCCTTCCTCCCTGTGCCAGTACACCAGTGGAGCTAGAGCCTAGAAGAGGAGGATGGAGGAGGTGTCCTAGAGGCAGACCATATTGCTGTCCTATAGATTCCAAAGGGAGGAAATGGGAGAAGGAGTAAAATAGCAGACCACATCCTCTCCCTATTCATGCTCCTGGAGCTACAAATCTGGCCTGCAGTGGGGGAGGGGAAACCTTTGGATTAGACAAAGGTTTAACAGTGAACAGCAAGTGGGAAATTATGGGATCTAACTGAGATGTCATTAAGATGCTTGCTGAGCAGCAATGTAAGGAGATTTAACATAGCAAATTTGAGCACAACAACTGGAGACAAAACTCCACTGAGTTGAGACAACGAAATAACAAAATTATTAGATTATAAATATTAGAAGAACTACTCCAGATGTTAAACAAAGAAGGAAAAAATAAGTGGCTTGAGTGGTCAGGGAATGCTTGTTTCTAAAAGGCAGAATTGGACTGGGCCTTCTTAAAAGATGAGCAGTGTGTAGCAAGTTGGAGCAGAGGGGAAACTAATGAGCATAAAGGCTTAGAGAAATGATTGGTTCATGTGGGGAATGAGGACAGGGAGGACACTGGACGGATCAGAGCAAAGTATGTGAGTTAAGGAGCCAAGTGTTGATAGAGGCTGGACTAAGCAGAGTCTTGAGGGCCAGGCAGAGGAGTTGCGATTCAGTGAGGCAGTCAGTAGGAAATCACTGTAGGTTCTTGAATGGGGAAAGCTTGAGGGAAGTTTTTTGTTTTGTTTTGTTCTGAATCTTTTAAAGACAGATTAATATGACAATGGTATAATATAGATGGATTTTAGTGGAGAAGAACTGGGATTCAAGGGGGCTAGTTAGGATGCTGTTGCAATATTCTAGATAGGAATTCATGATCACCTGATCCAGAATCCAAAGGGAAAATAGAATTGGAAGAGAAAGGAAAATCTGAGAAATATTTCAAAGACAAAAACAATGAGATTGACGACCACATCGAAGTGTGACAGCAGAAAGGATAATTCAGAGCATTCCTTGATTTCTAGCTTGGGGAACTGGAAAAATGGTGGTATCACAATCATAAATGAGGAAGTTAGGGAAGGAAAATCTATTTGGGAGACCAAGATGATTAATTCAGTTTGGGATTAATGAAGCTGAAGTCATGATTTGAAGTGGAAATGTCCTGATAAAAGTTGGAAAAAAAGAACATCAGATTAGCCTGATAGCAACATGCAGGAAGGACTGCAAGTGGGAGGTCCAGGCTAGGAAACTAAAGGGCTTGAGGCACAGGTGGTGTTTTTTCAAATGACTTCTTCCAGCTGAAGGTGGTGTTGTTTAGAAGAGAAAGGAGTAAACAGGAATGGAACAGTTGGCTACCCAGATGGTGTCCAAGAACAAAATAGGATTTGATTCCTGGACCATGGTTTAAGATCCTGGAACTGATGAGTTTTTGGCAGGGAACAGGGAGTATGTCATGAAGACAAAAAAATAAAAAGGTTTCTTCCTTTTTTTTTTTTCTTTTAGGGGGGAGAAAAGGAATCCTTAGGAAAGAAATAGAAAATTTTTCATTGAAAGAGAGAGAGAGAAAGAAGGAAGGAAAGAGAACTGAGTGAATAAATACAGGTCTCAAAGAAAGAGTAACATTGTAGAAGATACCCAGTGTTTCAAAAGAGTTAATTGTAGGTGAAAGGAACCTGAATTTATTAACATTTATTGAGAGTTTACTATATGCCAACACTGTGGCAAATTCTTTATATGCATTATCTCATTTAATCCTTACAACAAGCTTAACTTTTTCCCACTCAACAATATGTCAGGGACATCTTTCCATGTCAATAAAGATCTGCGTTGTGGTTTTTAATAGATGCATAGCATAGTATTTGAAGGGTCATTGTAGTAAGCTACCATGAACTCTCCTATTGATATTTTTTTCCACACTCCTATTCATACATTTTTTTCCACACTTTTTTGTATGCTCTCTTTTTCTTAAATAAGAGATGAACATTTTGTTTTAGTTTGTAATTTAATTTTTGAACATTATCGTGATTCAAAAATAAAAATCTAAATAAGTATATGATAAAAAAGTTTTCTTCCACTCTTGTTCCCTGTCCCACTCCAACAATTATTAGTTTCTTTTGTATCTTTCCATAATTTCTTTATGTTATATAAGCAAATATAAATATGTATTCTTATTTTTTCCTTTTTTTTTACACATAAGGTAAAAAGCATCTTGTGATCATCTCTTTAGGGTAAAATTTTAGAAGTAGTATTGCTGAATTAGAGAGTAGTTTCAGTTAAAATCTTAATACATATTGCCCAATTGCTCATCAGTAAGGTTGTACACACCAACAATGCACGAATGTCACTAAATCCATTTTATTTATTTTCTAATTTTAGTGTATCTATATATCTGAAAATGTATGGGGAACCCAGAATAAATGTTAAAAAAATTACTATAATTTGTAATATAAGGCTAATTCTGGTATTACACAGAAGTGATTATGCAAAAGACTTTGGACTTATGCATATATAATTTATAATACAGACAAATGGACACAATGAGAAGGAAAGATTTGATGTAAGTTGTTATTTATTTTTCTGTATTTTTCTTATTGGATGGGTGGAGAGACAGGTAGGGATGAAAAGATGGAAAAATATCAGTTGTTTGTAATGTAAAGATACGAAATAGAGCTGAATTAGACAAAGAATAAGCAAAATGAGAAATAGGGGCAGACTTACGATGAGAGTGAAAAAAGGGTAGATGATTTTATTGGGCCTCATACACCTGATATTGCCAAATCATCTCTTCCTATTACTTTTTTTTTTTTAACTTCTGTTCTAACCTCTACTATATATTATTGAATTGGTGCATATAATAGAAATTAAAACTAAATTTCGAATGAATGAATATGTACATTTGTCTTTTTTTTTTCCTTCTTAAATAGAATTGATTATCTGAAGAAATGGATACTTCTCCCACCAAAAAATATCCAGTGAAAAAACGGGTGAAAATACATCCCAACACGGTGATGGTGAAATATACTTCTCATTATCCCCAGCCTGGGGATGATGGATATGAGGAAATCAATGAAGACTATGGAAATTTTATGGAAGAAAATCCAAAGAAAGGCCTACTGAGTGAAATGAAAAAAAAAGGAAGAACTTCCTTTGGAACCATGGATACCCGACCTCCATCAACTGAAGACCCAATGAGCAATGAGATTGGACAATTCCAGAGTTTTGCAGAAAAAAATATTTTTCAATCCAGAAAAATGTGGATAGTGCTGTTTGGATCTGCTTTGGCTCATGGATGTGTAGCTCTTATCACTAGGCTTGTTTCTGATCGTTCTAAAGTTCCATCTCTAGAACTGATTTTTATCCGTTCTGTCTTGCAGCTCTTATCTGTGTTAGTTGTGTGTTACTACCAGGAGGCGCCTTTTGGACCTAGTGGATACAGATTACGTCTCTTCTTTTATGGTGTGTGCAATGTCATCTCTATCACCTGTGCTTATACATCGTTTTCAATTGTTCCTCCCAGCAATGGGACCACTATGTGGAGAGCCACAACCACAGTCTTTAGTGCCATTTTGGCTTTTTTACTTGTAGATGAGAAAATGGCTTATGTTGACATGGCTACAGTTGTTTGCAGCATCTTAGGTGTTTGTCTTGTCATGATCCCTAACATTGTTGATGAAGACAATTCTTTGTTAAATGCCTGGAAAGAAGCCTTTGGGTACACTATGACCGTGATGGCTGGACTGACCACTGCTCTTTCCATGATAGTATACAGATCCATTAAGGAGAAGATCAGCATGTGGACTGCATTGTTTACCTTTGGTTGGACTGGGACAGTCTGGGGAGTATCTACTATGTTCGTTCTTCAAGAACCCATCATCCCATTAGATGGAGAAACCTGGAGTTATCTCATTGCTATATGTGTCTGTTCTACTGCAGCATTCTTAGGAGTTTATTATGCTTTGGACAAATTCCATCCAGCTTTGGTCAGCACAGTACAACATCTGGAGATTGTGGTAGCTATGGTCTTGCAGCTTCTGGTGTTACACATATTTCCTAGTGTCTATGATGTCTTTGGAGGGGTAATCATTATGATTAGTGTTTTTGTCCTTGCTGGCTATAAACTTTACTGGAGGAATTTAAGAAGGCAGGATTATCAGGAAATACTAGACTCTCCCATTAAATGACTACCTGATTATTATCTTGTTAAGGTCCAGTTATTAATAGGTACACTGCCATTTTAATGTTTACCTATAAGTGTCTTTTGTGTTGTATAATTGACAGAGTGCTATATACTATATAATTAATATATGCAGATGTAGAAAAATTTATTCTAGTCTAATATATTCAAAACCAAATATTAAATATGTGAAATATCATGAACCTGGTGTTTTTACTGTTATTAACAAAAGGTGATTATGGTAGAAGGAGAATGTTAACTTTCATCACTAACGAACATAAGACTTGCTCATGTCCAGTGTTCTACAAATGTTCAACAAAAACCCCTCAATAGTAAAAAGTCTTCATTTGTGAAAAGTACACTATAAGTTGAAATGCTAAATACCAACCCGTGTTTTGTCATCTACTTGTGTTAGAAAACTAGAGGTGATTAGGGTGGGTAAGGGAGCTTGAGTTAAGGCAAGAAAGAGGGAACAAAAGAAAGGAGCTGGTTTTTCAACGACAATGGTGATTGTTCTACCTTAGAATAGGAAACTGGTCTTCACCTTTCTATGGCCTCATTAGGCAATGCATAGGAGGTGGAGGTAGGAAGAAGACTAGATTCTTGCCAGCTCTATTTAGTCTATGCCATTTTGTGCCTGATGGTGGGAGACCTAATGTTGGGGGCAGGGTCTTCTTATCCTCAGTTATACAGATCTCTTCCAAAACTGCTCTTGTTTATGATTTTGTAGCAAGTACAAGTGTGAGCTGCAGTAAAGGTACTTCTTACCCCTGAAAAAGACACTAGCAGTAATCACAGTATAGCAGAAAATTGATATAACATGGTGTCCTGAGATTCTTTTCAAAAGGGCCTAAAAGTCTGCAAAAGCATATAAGGTGGCGTTAATTGGGGTCTAATTTGGGCAATTTTACTAATGTAGCACAAGCAAATGTTGATATGGTACTGGGTATTAAACAATTGTTATTGAGCTATCTTAGCTCCAAATTCACCCTTCTTTACTTTCCTCCATGATGCCATGGCTCATACCCTGCAAACTACATTTTTCCTATGCCAGCTGGTGTCTCACTATGTTCCACCAATAAAGGGCATTAGAGGGAGACTGGAAGACAGGAGAAGGGGAGAAAGGATTTCCTCCCTTCTGTTTGCTTGCAGTTTCTGTCATTGTTACCCCATCAATACGCAATAGCCCTTTGCTCCAGCAGCAGCAGCTGATCTCAGCCTTGAGCTTCTTTTGGCACTCCTCCACCTCCCAAACCAGCGTCATCATTCCCCTGTCAGTAGCAGTAGGACCAGCTGGACAGCAGCCTCTTAGGGATCTGGGCTACAGCTCAGCTGGGTCATTCCTCTGAGCTTCTGACACCTGATAGTCCAACTTTGATTCCTCTTTTTCACTAAGCCTTAGGGCGGCAGCTGCTCTCTACAGTTATTACCTCTGGGCTACTTCAGTGTTCCCTTTCTGCTTTTTCAGTCCATCAATACCCAATACTAAATTCTTTCTGTTGTAATATCTTGTGATTTCTGTTTTCTTGACTAATATGTCTCCAAACCTTCCCCAAAGGAACCCACAGTCATTAGTAGGGTGCCTGTGCTTTTGTGAAAATATTAACATTCAGATTTTCTAGGAATTATTAGACACTGGCTTTCAATAGAAATTATCCAGATTGAAGCACAGAAAGAAAAAGGTTTGAAAAAAAATGAACACAGCCTGGAATGACCTGTACTAAGGACTAAGAAGTCTAGCATAAGTGTAGTCTTAGAAAAGGAGAGAGAGAGAGAATGGGGCAGAAAAGAGTATTTGAAGAAATATTGGCCAAAAGTTTTCTAAATTGATAAAAGGAAACAACAACAACCAGCAATTGACAGATCTAGGGAAATAAGTGAAACCAAGCAGGATATATGCACAGAAAACTACACCTAGAAACATAGTGTAACTGCTGATAAAGAAACAAAATCTTAAAAGCAGCCAGAGAGGGCCGGCCCCGTGGCTTAGCGGTTGGGTGCGTGCGCTCTGCTGCTGGCGGCCCGGGTTCGGATCCTGGGCGCGCACCGACGCACCGCTGCTGAGGCCGCGTCCCACGTGCAGCGGCTAGAGGGATGTGCAGCTGTGACATACAACAATCTACTGGGGCTTTGGGGGGAAAATAAATAAAGAAAATCTTTAAAAAAAAAAAAAAAAAGCAGCCAGAGAAAAAGATATATGAATACAGGAAAACAATGATATGAATTGTAGCTGGCTTCTCATCAGAAACAACAGAGGCCCGAAAACAACAGAATGACATTTTAAAGTGCTGCAAGAAAACCCTTTGATGGTTTCTCATTGCCTGTAGGATAAAGTCTAAGGTCCTTAACTTCCACAACCCGCTATTGCTCACATTTCTCATCATCTTCTGCTCCAGCGGTGTTCTACTGTTGTGTAATACCTTTTTTTTTAAAGATTTTATTTATTTATTTATTTCCCCCCAAAGCCCCAGTAGATAGTTGTATGTCATAGCTGCACATCCTTCTAGTTGCTGTACGTGGGACGCGGCCTCAGCGTGGCCGGAGAAGCAGTGTGTCCGTGCGCGCCCGGGATCCGAACCTGTGCCGCCAGCAGCGGAGCGCGCACACTTAACTGCTAAGCCACGGGGCCGGCCCTGTAATACCTTTTTTATCAGGCCCCTCTATGTGGAAAACCCTTTTCTTCTTTGCCCACCTAATTGCTAGACTAGCCTGATCACACGACTCCCTTCCCCTTGTGGCTTAATTTCCCCTGTACATATCTATTGCTGTATTTACTACATTAATAATAAGTATCTGTTCAAATCTCATTCTCTTTTTTTTTTTTCTTTTGTGAGGAGATGAGCCCTGTGCTAACATCTGCCAATCCTCCTCTTTTTTTTGCTGAGGAAGACTGGCTCTGGGCTAACATCCGCGCCCATCTTCCTCCACTTTATATGGGACACCGTCACAGCATGGTTTGCCAAGCTGTGCATGGGTGCGTGCCCGGGATCCGAACCGACGAATCCCGGGCCGCTGCAGCAGAGTGCGCTCACTTAACCGCTTGAGCCACCTGGCCGGCCCCCAAATCTCATTCTCTGACACTGAATTGAGCTTCTTTAAATTTGAGATGGATCTTTATATCTCCAGTATCTATCGTAATGCCTACCATAAAGTAGACTCTTAATAAATTTTTGTTGAATTAATGCCCAGAAAATTATAACAATATTCAATGCAGAAATTAAATTTAGTTACCAGGGTCCACTAATTTCTATACATCATGATCAAGCCTGTGATTAGTTACTTCTTGCTGTTTAGTAGGTAGGGCTTTTTTTTTTTGTCCTAAACAGTCCTGCTTGACAGTGATGCTAAACTAGATCATTCTAATCATTTCTATCATAACTAACTATCACAACTATCATAACTTAATGACAGTTAGAAATGATACCATAAGCTATCAAGTTTCCTGGGAAAGGCCTTGAGACATGGAGGCTCATTTTTCCCTTTCTTGTCTTCCCAAATCCTTTCCTTTGGGATTAATAAAGTAAGCCGCCTGCATGTTTTTATCCTAGACAGATTAGCTTCTCATATCCAAAGCCACATTTCCAGTCCATAGGTCATAAGTTTTGACCTAAATTTTGTTCTTGCCTGATTCTGGCTAGACCCTGGTCTACTCAGCACTAATTAAGAGAAGTGATTCCTGTTTTTGGTTTGAGTTCCTCAAAAAGAGAGGAAGCAGCAGCCTCGTGTGTGTTTACGTTTGAAAGTTGGGGAGACAGTGTGTGCAGGAAAGTGTCTGGAAAAACTTCCACCCCATAAGATAAGAACATGGACTCCATTCCTTCTAAGTACCCTATACTGCGATTTCACACGACTTTCTGCCTCTCTGCCCTTCCACCCAATGCTTTCCTCTTTCGTTGCTGTTTCCTTTTTTTCCTTCTTTTACTCCTTCTCTTTTTCATCTATTTTTTGAGTTTTTCTTTTTTTTTAAGAGTTCCTGGTAAGAATGGGTGATGAGAAAACTTAAAGAAGGAAAACTAAAAGGAAAAAGCATGTTTACAGGGAACTAAAACCCTTGTATGAAAAAGCTCTCTCCCTTACTTCTGTTGCTTGAATAGGTGGCACACAAGGGTCAAGAGATCTGGATAAAAATCTTGTGAAGGGTCTGTTTAGATCATTGGCCCCTTCAAAATACATATTCCCTTACAAAATAAAAGCTAAACTTATGACTTCAGCATATTTTTTCTGGGTTTATTTTCCGCACTTAAGATGGTGGTATAAGCTACCTGATAGCAAGGACTACTTTACCTGTTCTATTTGTATTCACTCCCCCTGCCCCCATCAAGTTAAATATGTAACTAGAATTAAATTGAGCCAGGTTTTGCTAACAGTTTGCTGTGTGATTTTGGAGAAATAGTTTTAACCTCTGTACAATGGTTTCTCCAGCTTCAAGAATGAATATAATAATATCTCAATCCATAAACTTTATGTGTCAACAAATAAAACTATTTTTATTAGTCAGCTCGGGCTGCCATAACAAAATACCACAGACTGGGTGGCTTAAACAACAGAAATTTAATTTCTCACGGTTCTGGAGGCTGGAAGTCCCACATCAGGGTGCCAGCATGGTCAGTTTCTGGTGAGAGCTCTCTTCCTGGCTTGCACATGGCCACCTGCCCACTGTGTCCTCTCATGACCGACATCTTCAAGTACAGTCACATTGGGGTTTAGGGCTTGAACATGAATTTTGGGAGAGGACACAATTCAGTCCATAGCAGCCATGATAACATATGCAAAGGTATTTAGACCCTTAGAATAAAGTAAAAATTCACTTATTCACTTTGGATGCTAATAATGGGATGTAGCCATGCAGTAGCTGTTGCCCAGAGTTTCACGGTCTACTTGCCCCAGCCAACTTCAGGCCAGGAAGGGGCCAGAGGTGATTTGTGCTTGATCTCATGATCCCATATGTGGCAAGCAAACCACATAGTCTATCAGCACTCAAATGAATAATTTTAAAATGAAATGCAGAAAAGTGTGAACTCTTGGAACTTACAGTCAGGGCCAGGATTAAAGCAAGGACAGGAAAATGTATTAATGCCTTAAACAATATTTACTGACGATCTATCCTGTGCCAGGACTGGGGAAAAACTGAATACTGACACGCTTCCTGACTTAACGGAGTTTACAATCCAGGTAGGGATGCGGACAAACTATTTCA